ACTCATATGCAAATAGCACCTAGACAGCTGGTTACTTGTATGCAAACAGCACCTAGACAGCTGGCTACTCATATGCAAATAGCACCTAGACGCTGGCTACTTGTATGCAAACAGCACTTAAACAGCTGGCTACTCGTATGCAAACAGCACCTAGACAGCTGGGGAATTTGGATTTTTGGCCGTACAAAAATTAATTTTCAGCTATTTGCATGTAAAAATCCATGCATAATAATTACCTAATTAGCATAATGATTAGTCAATTTTTGGCTTTTTCACTGATATCTCAAGTACTAATCATCACATTACAATTTGGTACATACATGTAGATGTCATAGGACAATGTACAGACCTTATGAATTTGGGGTAAATATTTGTATATATTAATTACCTAATTTGCATAATGAGTACATATTTGGCTTTTCCCCTGATATTTCAAGACCTAATCATCCCATTCCAATGAAACTTGGCACATGGATGCTCTTGGACAGCGCCCAGACTTGTTTAGTTTTGTTAAATCTGTACATATTAATTACCTAACTTGCATAATATTTATGCTTTTCCATCGATATCTTAAGTTCTGATCACATTTTAATGAAACTTGGCACATTGATGGTATGAGCAGACCTTATTACCGGTAGATTTATATTAAAATCTATGCATATTAATTACCTGATTTGCATAATAGTCTGGTTTCAGCTTTTCCATTAATAACTTATGGTACTTATCATATTATTTCAATGAATCTTGGTACATAAATACTCTAAGACAATGCAACACAGACGTGATTGATAATGAAAAACATGCATATTGATTATCTAATTAATTATTGGCCAATTTCTGATATCTTGAAAAATCAGATTTATATTGAACTTGTAGTAGAGGTGTTCTGGAATAAATTAGACTAAAACCACAGATGTAAAATAAAAAATATTTTCTGTAAGTATTATAAATTTTAATGATGTGGATCACATTATTTTCATGTTGTAAATAGACAAATATTAGTTGGAAAACATCTTGTTTGGAAGGCATTAACTAATATCGGTACTCTCAGCACACAGGAGTTCCTTCTAAGCTTTCTTTGATTCAGATTATATTTCAAAATTTTTAACAAGACCTGTAGCTAATAGGAAATTATGTTCATTTGGTTTAAAATGATCAAACAGGTTATAATGAAGTACATAAAAATGAGAAAACATTTTCGCTGGAAAAATTATGATGCTCAAATTGAAATTGTCAAAAAAAACATGATAGTGATGAACGTCATACATGTATAAGCATGCATTTTGTGTAGTTTCATATTTCTATTTATTTAAACTTGCTTGATTCGCTAAATCAAAACATTTCGCTATTACGTCATTTTACAACAATCTACTAAAACTGCATGCCGCTTTTTCAACATGTTTTACAGTATATATCTGTTTTCATCATACATGTATGTCATCGAGCAAAATTTTGAGATATTGATATATATCTTTGCCATAGGCAAAATGTCCTAAAACAGACAAAACATACTATTTTCACTGTATTTATTGATCAATTTTTACTGAACTAAGTATGGTGAGGCCATTTTTTTAATTTTATTTTCCTCATCTTTGTAACATGATATCAAATATGTAAACTTAAAGAAAATAAAATATTTTACTCTCATTCTACTTAAGGTAGAAGCCTAGTCATAATTTTTGACAAAATTGGTCATAAATCGGATGACAATGTTCATTAGTTTATTATGTACAATCATGAAGCTAATGTCTCATGGTACAATGAAATAGCATTATTTTGTGTGTTACAGTTATGCTTTTTGAGAAACGTGTCCTAATATTTCTTGAAAATTGTTATTTTTAGAACAATT